TACACTGCGTGCTGAATAACTGTTGCACCATCACATTATCAACCATTAACATTGCTAATGAGAACTAGTAACACAGTCTAAGTATAGTGCATGCCGTGTCTTAATGCGGACACAGTGGTTTATATACGTAATCGAATGATTTCGACGTCTAAGCCCATTAATTATGTTACAAAAACATAACAGTGACGTTCATGTTTTGCATATCTTTTTTTTTATTATTTCAATCTACAGACTCTGACAAAAAATAAAGATCGATATTACGCCAATAGGTATTGATCATATTGGGTATAGTGTACGATAATCACTACAACATACCCATTAGGCAAAATAAAAAAAAAACATGTTTAGCGTCCTGCCTCTTTGACAAAAAGGAAGGAGGAGGCCTTTTTTTTTTTTTCTTTTCAAAATGGCCGCCCGACACATTTTTCAAGACAACGCGGCCGGGCTATTTTTCAAGATGGTTACCAGCTTTTTTCAAAATGGCCGCCACTTGGACTCATTGACTATTTCCACAGCTTTATACACGGTATAAAAGTCTAAAAATATGATTTCTTTCGTCAGAGATCGTTAAAATTTATCAATTTTTGTCTTTAAAAAAAAAAGAAAAAAAAAAAAAAAAGGGAGGCGGCCTCTAAAAAGGAAGCGGGCAGGGACGCTAAACATGTTTTTTTTTTTTACTTCGCCTTATTTGATCAGCATCGAAGAATACGTTATCATTGTTCTGGTCTTTCAAGTTCAAACCTCGTGTTATCTGTGTGTGTTGAGGTACGTATTCCAAGCACAGTTAAAGATGGATCACATGAACACTTAAATGTACCCCTGAAATATCGTGGTATGTAGTTCCATTTCAAATAAAATTATTCGTCGGACTAATTACTAAGTCGGACACAATATTGACACTCAAACATAAGGGGTATAGGACTATCGGTCGTCGGACACAATGGGTAAAACAATGGGCCGTCGGACACAATGGGTCGGACTTAATCGCCCCAGTCTTGGTCACAATCATAATTAAACTAACGGACATAATGGTCACGAATACATGATAAAAATTATAATAGAGACCTTCAGATACTGTCAGTGTACAACCTTTTTGGTGGTGTTGGGGGGGGGGAGTTAAATACCCCCACTGGTTAAAAGCCAGTGGCGGACCCCCCCCCCTCCCCCCCCCCCCCCACACACACACACCCTCCGCGTTTAGCCGCTGACTTATGTTATGATACTAGTAAAATGGGCCAAAAAATACCAATTGGAATTTTCAAATTGCATTAGAATGCAGGAGAAAGCCTCGTAAATTTGAAATTTTCCGGGTTATGCCTCTGGAGGCCGGACCCCATAACAGCAGGGGATATTGTCGCCACGCCTTCACTCACACCCCCTCTCCCTTCAAATCCCCCCCCCCCTCCCCCCGTTTCCTGAAAGCTAGATCCGCCCCATTTAAATTCTTTTCCTTATTAAGCAGGGCAAACGATTTAGCGCGAAGACCGAGTGCTGTGAGGAATCTGATCAAGCAGAAAGAGATTTCAGGCAGCCAAAATATCCAACAAAATTATGAAACATTTGTGACTTCTTAAAGCCAAAAAATCAGGCAACACAATTTGAATAATTAACAATTCCCCAATTGTATGGCTCTCAGAAGTTTTTATTTTTCCCCAAACCACTTTTACGGCAAGTAAACGCCCCCAACGACAGTGAATTGAGATTCGGCCACTTTGAAGCTCAAAATTCCCCCCTCGGGCCCCTCTTTTTTCAACTCGCAATTGTTGTAATTGGCTGATGGCCTACGGCTCCCTTATGCGTACGATTTGGCTCTTGTTGATACCTTTAAAATACTTTTGCCCCCTCCCCATAGGTTCCGCCCGCTGAAAAAAACACTGCTGCGGCATTGCGCATGCGCAAAGAGGCCATGTTTGTCATTCTTATAGGGTGTAACAGTGTATTAAGATTCCCATAGACACTAGTGCTATATGCCCATACTTCTAAATTCTTTCAAAAATTACTCAGAACTCTCACAGGTGTTTAAGCTGCACAGAACAATGACGATCAATATGTCATCGTTTATTTTTTTTTCAATTTTTGGTAGGTTGACCATTGACTTTTCGAGAAATTCTCACCCAAAGAAGACGACCCCTATTTTTCCCAAAGCGGAAAAGTAGCCATCTTGGAAAACGATCCCTCCACAACATGAGAAAATAGCGCCACTTTCTAGCTCATTTGCATCCAAAATACTCAGAATTGGAAGGTCCAAGTCTGGGCCATGAGGTTCATTGCCAGATTCTTCAAATCCCCAATTTTATGACTCTAAGAACTCTCTAGTATAGAATATTTTGAGGGTATAACTTTTATTGATGAGCTTGGCGGATGGGTTTTAGGCCTATTTACAGGTGTGCAGCCTTAGGCCAAAAAAAGTGTCCGGTTTCTGATATGGAGCTTACCCAAAAAGTGGTGCGGCGACGCGGCTTTTTTTTTTTAACCTGTCTTTTTTACTTCAAATGTCGGCTGATGACTGCAAAGGGTGCCCGACTAAACTTAGTGCAAATATATGGGAGTGCGGAGAGGCCACATACAGCTTATTTTCGATCATAACCCCATCTAAAAACACGTTACAATTGTGCAGCAGCAGGATTCCAGTCAAACCAGTGAGTTTGGCGGTTTTGAGACATCATCTTTTATTGAAAAAATCTTTTTCATTTTGCCGACGCGCATGGCTACGGCGACGCGCGCGCATACCAGAAACCGAGACTTTTTTTTTTGGTCTTAGACTTTAGAGCTCTCTTTGCCAAACCATGTTTGGCACTTTTCTGCCAACCACGAAGGCAAGATGGCGTCCGACTGAAACAGATTTCACGGCTCCCCACCAGCCTCTCTCTCTTTTCAACCGATGAGGGGGTACCTCTGCACGAAGCGGATTAAGAGACTTCAGGTTGTTCTGTCTTGGAAAGCAAGAATGCACAGACTCAAGAAAATACTTGCCTGAAAGGGCAGTTGGGGAGCAGTGACTGACGCCGCGCGTCCGTAATAAATCACCGAAAAGCCTCACGGGCCGCACGCGGTACAGGACTGTAAGCTTACGCTACACATCACACGCATTAAACCAATATTGCATTTATTGATTAGAAATATTTATTAATAAGTTACACTGAAGATAAGATACATTTATTGATAAGATACATTAAGGTAGAAAACGTTAAGAAAATTAGGTGATTAGTTTGGCAGAATTAATCAATTAAAGCCCGGTTTATACTTCACGCGAAAGCGAAAGCGAAGCGAAATTCGTGACGTCAACAATACATTCGAAGCGCGTCCACCATTGGTGACGACATGAATTTCGCTTTGCACAAGCTTTTGCGTGAAGTATGAACCGTGCTTAAGAAAAGTGGCTGTTCCTGAAAACGAAAAAAAACCGACCAATTAGCAAATTCGCCCCTTCGTGAAAACGCTAAAGTGACTACGCGCAGATTTCGCCCTTCTGCGGTCTGAGTCAATGCAGTTTTTGTACAGTACGCGCAGATTCTGCCCCACTGCGCGTGCGCCTGAAATTTGCCCCTTCGATGATAAAGCGTCATTGTATTATAATGTATATATTTACTGAAAATGTATTAATACCATAGAGTGCGGAAATTCGCCCCTTCGTGAAAACGCAAAACGGCACTTGTGGCAAATTCGCCCATTCGTTAATTAGGTTAATTGTGGGTCTAATTAATTTTTTGAAAGTATAGCCTCACCAGGTTGTAGATATTGATATATTTATTCATTTTCACACACACACACCATCACAAATTCGAAAAAAAGACGATTTTTATGAAATTCGCCCCTACCTGAAAAGGGTGACGATTTATTAATAAGATACATTAATTAATATTGTACATTTATTGATAAGGCAAAAAAAAAGTCTCCGGTTTCTGGTATGGAGCTTGCCTAAAAAGTGGTGCGGCGACGCGGTTTTTTTTTTACCTGATTTTGTTTGCTTCAAATGTCGGCCGATGACTGCAAATGGTGCCCGACTAAACTTAGTGCAAATATATGGGAGTCCAGAGAGGCCACATAAAGCTTATTCTCGACCATAACCCAATCTAAAAACACGTTCAAATTGTGCAGCAGCAGGATTCCAGTCAAACCAGTGAGTTTGGCGGTTTTGAGACATCATCTTTCATTGAAAAAAAAACTTTTTCATTTTCCCGACGCGCATGTCTACGGCGACGCGCGCGCATACCAGAAACCGGAGACTTTTTTGGGGGGGGGGGGGGCCTAACATACGGTTATTAAAAAAAAATGTGTATTTCATCGAGTGTTTCCAACGTATGCTTCTTTAGAAAGGGTTTATGAGTATACTTCATTTTTGCAGTACATTTTTGTGTTCCAATGCACACAAAATACCACTTTTAGTCCCCATCCATGGTAAGTACACTTGTGATTATTTTTTAAAGAAAGGTCATGAAAATATAATTTAAAGCGTCGTACGCAACTTATAAGAAAAAGTCCCCAATCATATTCACCCGAAAGCTTTGGCATAACCTTTTCCGGGTAAAAAAAATGACACGTTTTGCTAAGGTTTCTAGGCCAAAATGACCCGGAAATGTATCATTTTCGATCCAGAAAAGTCTCGTTTTTGACCTGGAAAAGGTAGCCCAAACAGAACCCGGATTGCGGTTCAAACTGAACAGGAACTTATAACCCCAGTAAAAGTATATCACATATTACATGGCCAGGAATTTTAATTAAATCAAACTTCATAAAAACTTTTAGATTAAAATATCATTCAAGCCTAGGCTCCTGTCGGTATATAAGCAGAACATTACAAGGCTAACAGTACAAAACTGTCAAGATTAGACAAGGACAAACACAAGAACAAAGAAAAACAGTGCTAATTTTTCCAAATTGTATACACACTATTAAGGAATGCAGCAGATAACTAAATTTGTACAAAGAATTAGCAACCATGAGGTTCTATGTCACAATCACAGTTTCACCTGGGAAAGACGAAGGAGTCATTACACGAGTTAGTGCAGGAAAACCGCCAGGCTGGCGAATACGAGAATGGATGGTACTGCAGCCGTGACGACAGCTATGAAGACAAAGAAATACAAACAAATGTTTTGTTAGACGAGTCATAATAATGGCCCGCAATTTATATCATTCAGCATATAGAATCTGCACCGAAATGCCGACATGTACTTTCACAGAAATGAAACATCTGTCCAGCAGAATACTACATGAACTTCGATATAGACTGAGTAAGGAAGACAATTACACATCCTATACAATCCAAGTCTCAAAGTACCTATTAGGCCCTTGTTTTATCACTATTGAACGTCACAGCGGCCCGAGAACATGGCAATATAAATCAACACTTTGGATAGTATTATCGTTGTTATATTTTACTTTTTTGGCCCTTTTGAGGTTTGCGAAAGGATGGCGTGGCTTTATGTGCTTTTGCGATAACGGACACGTCGAGCGATTCCACTAATATAGTGCGCCCTCATGTGTTCTTTTTGTTTGTCATAAACTATAAGAAACAAGACCAGGTAAGACTAGCAAAGATGATACAAGAACCATTATCGTTATATTCATTTGATTCAGAATGGCTTTTCACTGGAAATCTAGTCATGCATCTGGCCACACGATTAGCTGGATTGATCCCATTCGTTGACATAGCGAGGTAATCCTATACGACAGCACTGCTTGGCTAACAAGAAATCGACAGTTAGACATACAGTGAGACAGCTGCAAAGAGTACATTGGGCCCTTTGGGCTCAGCGGAAACTCGCAACAGACAGAATACTAACCACTAGCACTGCATGTCAATCCAAGGAGCGTCGAATGGGTACAGTCATTCCCGGACCAACGCCCAAGATTGCACTGGTCCAATGTAGCCTCGTCTCCTGTACACGATACATCACCCAGAAACACTGGTCCAGATCTCAACCAAGGCGTAGTATAGAACTAGTGAAGCAAAATTGAACATTATCGATCAGGTTCAACATCGTCGAAAATCAAAATGTTTTATCTGTGACATTCACACTTCAGCAGACACACCTTCAGTAAACTATGATGCAATGTGCAGAAATATTGGTCTCACACCCTATCATATTGGTAAGATATGGTGGTCAAATTCTCTTATTAAATATTCATGACGACAGAATATTAGAACAATAGGCTGCACGTTAATGTTAACCGGAGGTAAGAGTCACATCCCCTTGACTTCAGGAGGCATATTTTCTCCATTTTCTTTAACGCTGGCGACGTTTTCGTTTGAATAGATCTCCTTATTTCCAATTTGAACCAATTTGCCGTCAACACAAAATCACCACAATGAAGCAAAAGCGAACCTGCGCATACAAAAAGTTAGATACAGGGTGACCCCCCCCCCCAAAAAAAAATGCAACCCTTAAACATTTGCCTTTTTTCAAAAACTTGATCTGCAATTTTTTATCTTTTGGATATCAGATTAAAGTTGAGAGTTTTTTCTTTCAAAATCAATATTGAAAAAAAATCATGAAAACAGCACATTGGGTTGCTGAGAAATACCTATTATGTAATAGAAGTGATTGCCTTTTTTTTTCAAAAACCTGATCTGCGATTTTTTATCTTTTGGATATCAGATTAAAGTTGAGAGTTTTTTCTTTCAAAATCAATATTGAAAGAAAAATCATGAAAACAGCACATTGGGTTGCTGAGAAATACCTATTATGTAATAGAAGTGATTGCCTTTTTTTTTCAAAAACTTGATCTGCGATTTTTTATCTTTTGGATATCAGATTAAAGTTGAGAAGTTTTTTCTTTCAAAATCAATATTGAAAAAAAAATCATGAAAACAGCACATTGGGTTACCGCGTTGCTGAGAAAATACCTATTATGTAATAGAAGTGATTGTTTATCCTCTCCAATGGTGCTTCAAGCCCACTGCGCAATACTGTATTTCATTTTGTACAATTTTTTAAATATTTTTACATATTTATGATGCCAAAAAGGTTTAATTTATTGGACTAAAAAAAGGATAAGATACCTTTTCAAGTGTAAAATAAAAGATATTTCCATCAAATTCAGTTGTACCCTTGTTATTTTAAGTGCCGTGTTGTTTGTTAGGATTAGCACACAATGCGCCACATGCATTTCAAGCACAGATAGGTAAAGTGTAAATCCCTTAAATGTGGTAGTGCCATTGGAATGGACCGAAAAGGAGTTGCGTCACATAATTGGCATTTTCTCGGCAACCCAATGAGCTGTTTTCATGATTTCTTTTGCAGTATTTAAAATAAAAATACAAAACTCGCAGCTTTACTCTCATATTCAAATTCACAGATCACGATTTTGAAAAAAAGGCAAATGTTTCAGATGTTGCTTTTTGGGGGGAGGGGGGGGTTCACCCTGTATACCTCTTTCGTAATAAGATGGAGTCAGAGGGCAAATTGTATTGCTGGGATAGGGATGAGTAAAGCCCTTGTGAACTCATTGCTGGTGAATTAAGATAAGAAAGTACGCCCTCTGGAAACCTGCTACGTATATTAAGCTGTGATAGAGTTTGGCAATTACATCAACGACAGATTATTTCGATCATGCCACCCAAGATTGAGATTCAGACACAACTCTTATGAATTAATCTTACTATTCACATAAATGATGACGCATACCGATTTCGGGGCTCCAAGTCCCAGTTCTCTGCACACGACTTTGGAGTTGGCATCTGTCCAGCCGTTTGCACAAACGGCACCCCAACGCCCATCGTGATAAATTTCAAGCAAGCCATCCTTTTGACGTCTCTGAAAACTGACTGGACTTCGGTCCTCTGAACGTAAGAGTGCATAAGTATAAAATAGAGATTAATTGCTTCCTAAGACGCACAGAGGTGGGGGTCAACATTCATGCAGATATAAGCAAGTATTCTAGATTCATAATTGTCCATGTAATTTGAATACTTCCCAGTTGAGAACTTTGTAAAAGAACAAATTGGAAACTGAACAGGGATAAGTTTTGGAACATCTAAACAGTCTCGAAACGACTTTAATATTTTGTGCAAATATCAACACTTTTATAGTTTTCTGTATAGTTTCTGGAGGAGAAAATTATAAATCAACAAAAGATTAATCTTAAAAGAGAATGTTCTTCCACTCATCTCAAAAAATAATTACTGAAATTGATCCATGCTATCAGAAGTTATGCACACGTTTTACTAAAAGAACCGATTTTTATAGCTGTCCATGGAATGCCATTGGAAGCTGTTGAGCTGAGTGAGGCTTACAGATTACACACAATCAATTTAAAAAAATTCAAATTTTAATCATTTTTGTCAAGACACAAACATTATTTTTACTGTCAGATTTTGGGTTTTGAATATAAAGAACAAGTCATCTATTTTTGTGAAATATGAATAGCGATTTTGGCATGTTTTCGATTGCAAGTTCTCGTCCATGCATCGAGATGGGAAAACGTCCACGTTTCATTGTTATAATGGGTATTCATCAGTTCGTAGAACGGTAAATGGTCAGTGGTGGACAGCCAAATTTTGTGATCTTCATATCAAAATAGGCGTAATTTAGTAATAGAGTATGCAAATTACGTGCAATGTTCACAGTAACTAGTCAAAAAGATGTTATTTATGCTTGTGGGTTTTTTTATGAAATGGATCGAGCCTCTTTTTTTTCTCTAATTCAGTGACTTTCTTTTTGACTTACCCCGTACTGACGACGTCAAACTTTTCTATGGGGCTACGAAACCGATATCCCCACCAAGCTCGCATAAGCACACGTGAAAAAAAGTGTGACGTCGTTAGTACACAGGCCTTTTGCTATTTTTTTTTCTTGGACATTAATATTTTTAACTTTAAAGTTTTTCCGGCCAGAAAGCAACTGTTGTCGATTTGACCGTCATTGATGCAAGATTTGCACGTTATGTACACGCTTACCTGGAATCGGACCGCTACAAATGACGCTAGCCTCGCTACTCCCCTCAAGATTCAAACATTCTTGATCCGGTTCATCTGGCATATAGCACTGAGCAAACGAGGATTCTGAGCCTGAACAAACGACGTAAGTAGGGAAGACCACCAGGCCAGACCCACGGCCGAAGCGGTCGTCTTGTGGTGCTTCCAGGCCGTACCCTAACCCAAGCTGACGGCAGATCACATCACTCTCCTCGTCAAAGGATGTGTAGCCTTTTTTCAAGCAGAGACTTCCCCATGTTCCGTTGACGTGGAACTCAACTCTCCCCTCGTTGGCGTTAGAGCCGCCCAAAAGTCTCAACTGAAAGTCTTCAGGCTCTTGAGATAAAAACAAAGAAATAATAAACAATCGTTTTGTTAATCACTCCACAATTTCAATTTTCATTGTTATCCCTTCAGATCGTTGACGGTTTAGTGGACTAAGTGCAGCTGAACAATAGCCTTCCCTTAAAATAGTTTCATCTACAGAACTAACTTATTGAAGGGTACATCGTCTTAAATCATCGAAACTTTTATGTTTTAGATTGTTTACTTATTTCAAAGATCTGGTGGTAGAAAACCTAAACTAATATCTCACTGTACCTGAGAAAAGATTTGCAAAAACATGTTGTTCTCTTCTGACACGGCGGACATTTTGTGGCAAACACATAGTTACGTATATTTCCAACCGGAAGTTCTTGGACGAGGAGTTTGCCCCACTGTATTTCTGTGTCCATGATTGTCGTATGATTCAATGTAGGCCTACGGTACACGCCGTGTGGCGGGTACATCAACATGTTCTAAACGTTTTAAGCGTTTTCAAAGTAAAATGTACGACTAGCTAATGTTTAGGATTGATCACCACATGCAAGTGCAGCAGACGACTGTTTCAAGTCATTTTTATACAAGGCGCTTCGGATAAAGTGGACTATTTTTCGCCAAAGTCCGCAATATGTCCACAAACGAGATACGATTATTTGCTCAAAGGGATGTATAAAATGTCGCGTTTGATCACACACAGATGGAAAACGGTTGGACAGTGCATGCGTGGACCGTTTCGAAAGTAAAGCGAAAATCTTTATTGAGAGATTACTGATTGAGCGCCAGAAAATGATGAGTTGGATTTGGTCCCTTTAGAAAATTCAGGAAGTACTAGCCTAAGGCTGCGATGCTTACTAACACATTTTGTTAGTACATGAAAATATGAAACAAAACATCTCAAAACACTTTGATCACAAAGGTTGATAAGAAACAGATGTAGTACTGTACATGCGCTTTCCATGTACGTCTCATTTTTTTTTACTAAGAACGGTACAGTAACTTTAAACAGCTAAATTGAGAAGATCCTGATTGAGATATGAACATTGATTGAGACATCTGCTTGAACTGTCAAGAGTGAACTGCACTACTTTTACAAAAGCATACTTGAGTCCCGACAAGAATGATTCTTTGGATGGAACAGACCTCGAGTTGTTATTTCTTTTAAAAAATCTCAATGTTATAGTCCATCCCCGCCCCCCCCCCCAGGCTAAGGCTTTGATCTGGGGGCGCGTTTTTTATTTGTCAAACTGCCTATATTTCTTTTCTCTAAACCCCAGAATTCAGCTACAATTTCACTGCAAGATTTTGATCAATTTATATATAATATTTGGGCAATTTATATGTTATATATAGGTTATGCCTATGACGTCGTTTCATCACAAAAGGGAATACATGGATCTCGGATGTCGGATATTTTCCCTAAATTTACAATCGGACTACGCCCTATTGGCGTAGACACCTGAAATTTATCTTTAAATGGATATCGTTGTGTACATGTATATCATGCTCCGGCCTTGTTTCAAGTAGACCTGTCTATGCAGAAACTTTCCCTGAAACAAAATGGTTTATTGAGCACAAAGTGATTTATTTTAACCAATAAATCATTTGGGTAGTAAAAAAATCTCAAATTTCTTCTTTTTTTTTCCAAGAAAATATTTTACATTTTATAAAGTACATTCAGGGAACCCGATTAAAAATGGCTCCCTCGAGTACATGGGTGATTAATATGGCTTGAATTAGAAGCAAACATAATATCTAAGTACATATATAACCACGTTCACCTCAATGTCACACGCATGCTAGTCTGAGTAAATCAATGAAGACATCTGAGCTGTAGGCATCCGACATTAAACACTTGTTTCCCTTATTTATAACAATCAGAATCCATTTGTGGTTACAGTTCTCTGAGACCTGTTTTAGCTTTGAGACTTACCTTTAATTCGATTGCAGAGAACCCCTGCTTGGTGATTAGCAGTACAGTTATCCTGGAACCAAAAGTTGGCCAGACACTCGATGAGTTTGCTCTCGTTACCGATGCACGCAAAGTCGGTGGCTAAATATGAGATTTCTTGTAAGCGTAATGGACGACGATTCCCAAAGTAGGAGTCGGTAACGGCTCGTTTTGCCGAGTAGTGTCCATCCTGGCGGCAGATGACGTTAGCATCTGCCAGATCCCACCCCTGATCGCAGACTAGGTAAAGCCTCGTACCTATGATGAGATCTTTGCTATACCAAAACGTAACTTGTCCTTCATTTTTAACACCTATCGGGCCATTGCCATCGCCAAGGCCCACATAAAACTGCTGCCCTGTATTTAAAAATCGGACGGAAGTAGAAAGAAAGAATGTTAAACATTTAACCTTTTTAATGAATCTTAAAATTGTCCGACCTGAAACTTTGAAATAACCACAATAATTGATTCTTTCCAACTAATATTTTCCCTTCAAACAGCTATGATTGTGGATGGCGTTGAGTAAACTATAATTCCGAACCTTTAAATTCCTCCTGGTCCATACATGCAACAGCCGCAGCCCGTCTTGTCTCGGCACATTGATGATCTGTCCAACCGTCATTCGCGCATTCATCTAGTCTGGTTTCCGACCCCTTGCACTGAACGTTACTAAGCCAGACTAGTTCCGTCAAATTGCCGCCATCGTAGTTCCAATCGTCACGGTTGAGCCATGGAAAGCCCAGTTGCTTACAGACTACAAGAGCATCGTTGAAATCCCAACCATCAAGGCAAATTGAGCCCCATCGACCACCGTGTAAAACCTCAACTCTACCGTTTTGGCTAGAACCGCCAGACAAGCGCACGTCTCCGTCTATATACGGGAAAAGAAGGGAAGTTAATGAGACAACATCGCACACACCAATTATGAAAACATACAGTGTGTTTTCAAAAACTTATATGGAAACACAGTTTAACACACCAAGTACATTTGTCCATTGTCTTGGCAAGGTTAACATGAACAAATGAAAGTTATAAAGAACATTTGTATTCTTTTTCGTATTTATTCCAATATAATCACATATTTGATTCGGCTTGAACCACAGAATCACTCAATACTTGACAATACCCAGACCCTGCAGTGGCACGATGAATACAAACCTAAAGCCGTAGCTGTACCAAGAATGAACACACAAAAAACAGTAACGCCAAGCATCGTGACACAGTTGTCTGTTGAACTGCACCTTCGCATACTGGCAAATGACAGATTTATATGCATTCCTGTATTATTGTACTTTGGTCACAGCATTTGATCCGGTTTTACTATCTTATTTTACTCATTCAGCAGTGCAATGGAAAATTTACGTTTCCACAGGGAGTGGTTACATTCACAGCACGGAGTCCAAAGTGCCTGCAGGTCGTTGACAGTGACATATTACAGTCCACGTTTAACGGCGACAATTTCACTTCGCGCCGGAAGCTTTGTGTAAAATTAAGACCAAATTCAGCTGTAAGAAATTTTTTTATTAATAACATCTTGAAAAAAAAACAATCCCCAGATTGTCCTTAAGGTACATTAACCCGAAACATTTAAAAATCCTTTGAACGTTTACGATATAGACGATCAAGGTTGTTCCCCGGAATTTTAAATGGCTCCAAAATTTCCATTTAGATGCGTGGCTATCCATCCCTTCTCACCTACCTCCGTTCCCCCTCCCCTACCAGGTTAATACGAATCCGTATTTCGGATCACTCTGACCTATATATAGACGACTTGGAGTGCACATATAGCAATTAAGAAGGGGAAACTAGTGATTAATAAACGTATCTAGGCGTTAGTTTTCTTGGCATCAAGAAACTGTTAAGTTTGTGGAAATTCATAAACGGTGTGCAGGTTGAGTTCCCAGGCATAAAACCTGATTTCCATGGATCCAATCAATCAGGTCGAACAAATCAGGTGACTCAGAACTGGCAATAAATACTAGCGTCATCAAGATTACCATCTTTATAAACGGTGTACCTTTGATCGAGTACTGTACAGACGGGTTCAGAAATAACCGGTTTATATGACTCATTCAGCATTGAACAAGAAAAAGTACGTCATTCTGTTACCATTATACTCATGATACTGATTAGGGATACTCGAGTCCAGTAACAAACGTCACCGTTTTACGAGGAGGCGAAGTTAATCTGTCACCGTCGGAACAAACATTCGAGAAAATCGCGTTTAAAGTTGGTCCTTTTTCTTTGAACAATTTGAAACGTGGAAATGCATAGAATATGAAAGATCTAGGTATCAGAGAAAAGAGGGGATTATAATCTCCCTCAATGTATCTAACTTGAAGAAAAATAGGCGATTAGTTTTGCAAACTGAATCAATTAGAGAAGCGGCTGTTTGTGAAAACGAAAATAACAACCAATCAGCAAATTCGCCCCTGTGGCTGTGAATTTCGCCCCTTCGTGAAAATGCTAGAGACAGGACGCGCAGATTTCATTACAGCCGGTATTTCATAGACTCGTCCTGCATCTTATAACATTTCATTTTTTGTCTCTGCAAAGTGTGACCCGTTTTTACGGAAATTCGCCTCTTCGCGAAAACGCAAAACGGCACTTGAGGAAAATTCGCCCCTTCGTTAATAAGGTTAATTGGGATTTTAATTAATTCTATGAAAGTATAACCTCAATAGAATGTAGATATTGATATATTTAATCGTTTTCACCAAAAAACGATATCGATAAACAGACGATTTTCATGAAATTCGTCCTTTCGTGAAAACGGTGATATAGTTAAGAGATTAACAAGCATTTTTCATGTCTACATCAACACGATAATGATTAATTTAACAGGTGCTTACACACATATTTTCATGTATATCTGCACAGCGTGCTGAATAACTGTTGCCCCATCACATCATCAACCATTAACATTGCTAATGAGAACTAGTAACACAGTCTAAGTATAGTGCATGCCGTGTCTTAATGCGGACACAGTGGTTTATATACGTAATCGAATGATTTCGACGTCTATAAGCCCATTAATTATGTTACAAAAACATAACAGTGACGTTCATGTTTTGCATATCTTTTTTTTATTATTTCAATCTACAGACTCTGACAAAAAATAAAGATCGATATTACGCCAATAGGTATTGATCATATTGGGTATAGTGTACGATAATCACTACAACATACCCATTATTTGATCAGCATCGAAGAATACGTTATCAATGTTCTGGTCTTTCAAGTTCAAACCTCGTGTTATCTGTGTGTGTTGAGGTACGTATTCCAAGCACAGTTAAAGATGGATCACATGAACACTTAAATGTACCCCTGAAATATCGTGGTATGTAGTTCCATTTAAAATAAAATTATTCGTCGGACTAATTACTAAGTCGGACACCATATTGGCACTCAAATATAAGGGGTATAGGAATATCGGTCGTCGGACACAATGGGTAAAACAATGGGCCGTCGGACACAATGGGTCGGACTTAATCGTCCCAGTCTTGGTCAAAATCATAATTAAACTAACGGACATAATGGTCACGAATACATGATAGAAATTATAGTGCAGACCTTCAGATACTGTCAGTGTACAACCTTTTTGGTGGTGTGGGGGGGGGAGTTAAATTCCCCCACTGGTTAAAAACCAGTGGCGGACCCCCCCCCCCCCACACACACACACACCCTCCGCGTTCAGCCGCTGACTTATGTTATGATACTAGTAAAATGGGCCAAAAAATACCAATTGGAATTTTTAAATTGCATTAGAATGCAGGAGAAAGCCTCGTAAATTTGAAATTTTCCGGGGTATGCCTCTGGAGACCGGACCCCATAACAGCAGGGGATACTGTCGCCACGCCTTCACTCACACCCCCTCTTCCTTCAAATCCCTCCCCCCCCCGTTTCCTGAAAGCTAGTTCCGCCCCATTTAAACTCTTTTCCTTATTAAGCAGGGCAAACGATTTAGCGCGAAGACCGTTAGTGCTGTGAGGAATCTGATCAAGCAGAAAGAGATTTCAGGCAGCCAAAATATCCAACAAAATTATGAAACATTTGTGACTTCTTAAAGCCAAAAAATCAGGCAACACAAATTATTTGAATAATTAATTCCTCAATTTTATGGCTCTCAGAAGTTTTTATTTTTCCCTAAACCACTTTTACGGCAAGTTGAAGGATCCGTTCATATTCCATCAAATTGTCCGAGGTCGAAATTAGGCCTAAAACAGTGCCGCTTTTTGTGCGCCTGCTAGCTGGAGCGCCCCCAACGACAGTGAATTGAGATTCGGCCACTTTGAAGCTCAAAATTCCCCCCTCGGGCCCCTCTTTTTTCAACTCGCAATTGTTGTAATTGGCTGATGGCCTACGGCTCCCTTACGCGTACGATTTGGGAGCATTTGTTGCGGAACAGCTCTTGTTGATACCTTTAAAATACTTTTGCCCCCTCCCCAGAGGTTCCGCCCGCTGAAAAAAAAACACTGCTGCGGCATTGCGCATGCGCAAAGAGGCCATGTTTGTCATTCTTATAGGGTGTAACCATTGATCTCCATATACACAGACTGGATAGGACATCGCGTACGAACGTGCGTCCGCGCGCGCGTATTTTGAAAAGGGTAAAGACACAAATTCGCATTTCGAATTGTGTACACTTTCGAATGGAGGATTAAGAAATGAAGTTCGGTTTTCTTCGCTTTCTTTGTCATTTTTGAAAGAATAAAAGAAACAGAGATCTAAATTGATCAAAATCGACGAGGAGTATAGTCAAGGTGTGCGCAGCATTAGATTGCTGGAGTCGGGAAGAAAGGAGCGTTGAAGAATAGGACAATTATTCGCAAGTAAGTTGTTTTTTAACGAGGCCTATACAACATGGCATGGAGAAATATGAAAATGGGAATGACAAAGCAAATTATGTCGCTCTGAGTTTGAGGGGACGGGCCTGTATGGTAGCTAGCGAGATATTCTGTTCAAATTCCATGCGATCTAGGCCTGTCATGCTCAGTGGTCGGCATCATTTTTCTTTAAAAGACATACCTAGGCCTAAACGTGCATGATTGACCCGGCAATGGCAATGAACAAAAGTTGACCTGTTTAAGATAGTTTATTCGAATAACTTTTATATGCAAAATCTGATTGAATTATGTCTGCCTTGGCTTAACGCCTACCGAAATGTTTCTATTCTTTTCTTTATAAAGAGAAACCGAGGAGATGGTTTATGCTAACTTACTGCACAACTGGCCGATTGACCTTCATATCAAACAAAGAACTTCAACAAAGCCATATAGCAAAAACCACCAGCTGCAGGACTGAGCCGGACGAAAATGGAGAACTTCACGGAGGGATGGAATCGACTGTATCATCCACTGAATGGAACATGCGATGTGATATGCATCTGAGCGTTTGACTTAATCAATTTTTACGATGTGGAACTGTTAACATTGATTGATTTTGGTTTTGGAAAGAAGTTGTGGAGTTCAACGCAAGTATTTTTATAAGCTCCCAAGATGACTGTCACATTATTGACAGTTTGTATGCATGGTGAAGAAAGCAATGAGCACTTTAACGGTTTGAAATTATGTTGTGTACGCCGTTATATAAGATTACTAGCTATAGCCATAAACACCGTCATATTCGCTCACAAAAACGATTCCCATTACACTTACAAGTAATTATATTTATTTTCAGAAGTATAGCTAAACATTTAATTGCAAGACCGTGCGTAGCTTGAATTATTCTTTGACAAAATTATATAGTACTATTTTGGTTTGTGATTCATCTCCTTTCACAAAATATCACAAAGAGGTAAACGATGTCATTCCCTGATCAATCTAGGGACGGGAAGAAATTTTTACTGATTACTTTGTAAAATTAAGGTTTTTTTACCTTTTAGATTGTAATTGGTTTATGTTCAGGTTTTTTAATAAATATATCAATCATTTGAATGAATCTCCATACATTTCTCGTGTGAGTGTTCAGTTAAAAAAATATGATGTCATTTCGGCATAATATTAATACAATTATTCATTTCGTTGATGGAGTAATTCAGTGTGCTCTAATGACCAATGTGCCAAAAATGAAATGGCAATTTACTTACAATCATTTTTGAGAGGAGAAGGGATTTTAAAAAAAATAAGGGAAAAGGAAATGGGGGGTTCTTGAATTTCGAAAATGCATAATAAGAAAGTGTATATCAAGAAAGTGTGGAAAAGCTGTTTGGAGGGTAACTCTTCATCGTTCAGGGTTTTTTTAAAGATTGTTTTGGAGGAACACTTGAACCCCCGTCTGTAATCCATTTTCCAAAGTAAACAAAGTGAAAGCACGATGCGCGTTTACCCGTCTGACAGTAAACGCGCCGCCATTGTTCGGCCGCGCATTCGTGCACAAACACGGCGCGATGTCCTATCCAGTCTGTGTATATGGAGATCAATGGGTGTAACAGTGTGTTAAGATTCCCATAGACACTAGTGCTATATGCCCATACTTCTAAATTCTTTCAAAAAATACTCAGAACTCTCACAGGTGTTTAAGCTGCACAGAACAATGACGATCAATATGTCATCGTTTATTTTATTTTCAAGTTTTGGTAGGTTGACCATTGACTTTTCGAGAAATTCTCACCCAAAGAAGACGACCCCTATTTTTCCCAAAGCGGAAAAGTAGCCATCTTGGAAAACGATCCCTCCACAACATGAGAAAATAGCGCCACTTTCTAGCTCAATTGCATCCAAAATACTCAGAATTGGAAGGCCCAAGTCTGGGCCATGAGGTTCATTGCCATATTCTTCAAATCCCCAATTTTATGGCTCTAAGAACTCTCTAGTATAGAATATTTTGAGGGTATAACTTTTATTGATGAGCTTGGCGGATGGGTTTTAGGCCTATTTACAGGTGTGCAGCCTTAGGCCAAAAAAAAGTCTCCGGTTTCTGATATGGAGCTTCCCCAAAAAGTGGTGCGGCGACGCAGCTTTTTTTTTTTTTTTACCTGTCTTTTTTACTTCAAATGTCGGCTGATGACTGCAAATGGTGCCCGACTAAACTTAGTGCAAATAATATGGGAGTGCGGAGAGGCCACATACAGCTTATTTTCTATCATAACCCCATCTAAAAACACGTCACAATTGTGCAGCAGCAGGATTCCAGTCAAACCAGTGAGTTTGGCGGTTTTGAGACATCATCTTTTATTGAAAAAATCTTTTTCATTTTGCCGACGCGCATGGCTACGGCGACGCGCGCGCATACCAGAAACCGGAGACTCTTTTTTTTGGTCTTAGACTTTAGAGCTCTCTTTGCCAAACCATGTTCGGCACTTTTCTGCCAACCACGAAGGCAAGATGGCGTCCGACTGAAACAGATTTCACGGCTCCCCACCAGCCTCTCTCTCTCTTTTCAACCGATGAGGGGGTACCTCTGCACGAAGCGGATTAAGAGACTTCAGGTTGTTCTGTCTTGGAAAGCAAGAATGCACAGACTCAAGAAAATACTTGCCTGAAAGGGCAGTTGGGGAGCAGTGACTGACGCCGCGCGTCCGTAATAAATCACCGAAAAGCCTCACGGGCCGCACGCGGTACAGGACGCGTAAGCTTACGTTACACATCACACGCATTAAACGGATATTGCATTTATTGATTATAAATATTTATTAATAAGTTACACTGAAGATAAGATACATTTATTGATAAGATACATTAATGTAGAAAACGTTAAGAAAATTAGGTGATTAGATTTGCAGAATTAATCAATTAAAGCCCGGTTTATACTTTACGCGAAAGCGAAAGCGAAGCGAAATTCGTGACGTCAACGATACATTCGAAGCGCGTCCACCATTGGTGACGACATGAATTTCGCTTTGCATAAGCTTTCGCGTGAAGTATGAACCGTGCTTAACAAAAGTGGCTGTTCCTGAAAACGGAAAAAAAAACCGACCAATTAGCAAATTTCTTCCCTTCGTGAAAACGCTAAAGTGACTACGCGCAGATTTCGCCCTTCTGCGATCTGAGTCAATGCAGTTTTTGTACAGTACGCGCAGATTCTGCCCCACTGCGCGTGCGCCTGAAATTCGCCCCTTCGATGATAAAGCGTCATTGTATTATAATGTATATATTTACTGAAAATGTATTAATACCATAGAGTGCGGAAATTCGCCCCTTCGTGAAAACGCAAAACGGCACTTGTGGCAAATTCGCCCATTCGTTAATTAGGTTAATTGGGGGTCTCATTAATTTTTTGAAAGTATAGCCTCACCAGGTTGTAGATATTGATATATTTATTCATTTTCACACACACACACCCACACAAATTCGAAAAAAAAGACGATTTTTATGAAATTCGCCCCTACCTGAAAACGGTGACGATTTATTAATAAGATACATTAATTAATATTGTACATTTATTGATAAGGCCAAAAAAAAGACTCCGGTTTCTGGTATGGAGCTTGCCTAAAAAGTGGTGCGGCGACGCGGTTTTTTTTTTTACCTGATTTTGTTTGCTTCAAATTTCGGCTGATGACTGCAAATGGTGCCCGACTAAACTTAGTGCAAATATATGGGAGTCCAGAGAGGCCACATAAAGCTTATTCTCGACCATAACCCAATCTAAAAACACGTTCAAATTGTGCAGCAGCAGGATTCCAGTCAAACCAGTGAGTTTGGCGGTTTTGAGACATCATCTTTCATTGAAAAAAAACTTTTTTCATTTTGCCGACGTGCATGTCTACGGCAACGTGCGCGCATACCAGAAACCGGAGACTTTTTTGGGGGGCCTAACATACGGTTATTAAAAAAAATGTGTATTTCATCGAGTGTTTCCAACGTGTGCTTCTTTAGAAAGGGTTTCTGAGTATACTTCATTTTTGCAGTACATTTTTGTGTTCCAATGCACACAAAAAACCACTTTTAGTCCCCATCCATGGTAAGTACACTTGTGATTGTTTTTTAAAGAAAGGTCATGAAAATATAATTTAAAGCGTCGTACGCAACTTATAAGAAAAAGTCCCCAATCATATTCACCCGAAAGCTTTGGCATAACCCTTTTCCGGGTAAAAAAAAATGATACGTTTTGCTAAGGTTGCTAGGCCAAAATGACCCGGAAAGGTATCATTTTCGATCCAGAAAAGTCTCGTTTTTGACCTGGAAAAGGTAGCCCAAACAGAACCCGGATTGCGGGTCAAACTGAACAGGAACTTATAACCCCAGTAAAAGTATATCACATATTACATGGCCAGGAATTTTAATTAAATCAAACTTTGTAAAAACTTTTGGATTAAAATATCATTCAAGCCTAGGCTCCTGTCGGTATATAAGCAGAACATTACAAGGCTAACAGTACAAAACTGTCAAGATTAGACAAGGACAAACACAAGAACAAAGAAAAACAGTGCTAATTTTTCCAAATTGTATACACACTATTAAGGAATGCAGCAGATAAATAAATTTGTACAAAGAATTAGCAACCATGAGGTTCTATGTCACAATCACAGTTTCACCTGGGAAAGACGAAGGAGTCACTACACGAGTTAGTGCAGGAAAACCGCCAGGCTGGCGAATACGAGAATGGATGGTACTGCAGCCGTGACGACAGCTATGAAGACAAAGAAATACAAACAAATGTTTTGTTAGACGAGTCATCATAATGGCCCGCAATTTATATCATTCAGCATATAGAATCTGCACCGAAATGCCGACATGTACTTTCACAGAAATGAAACATCTGTTCAGCAGAATACTACATGAACTTCAATAATAGACCGAGTAAGGAAGACAATTACACATCCTATACAATCCAAGTCTCAAAGTACCTATTAAGCCCTTGTTTTATCACTATTGAACGTCACAGCGGCCCGAGAACATGGCAATATAAATCAACTCTTTGGATAGTATTATCGTTGTTATATTTAATTTTTTTGGCCCTTTTAGGGTTTGAAAAGGATGACGTGGCTTTATGTGCTTTTGTGATAACGGACACGTCGAGCGATTCCACTAATATAGTGCGCCCTCATGTGTTCTTTTTGTTTGTCATAAACTATGGGAAACAAGACCAGGCAAGACTAGCAAAGCTGGTACAAGAACCATTATCGTTTTTTTCATTTGATTCAGAATGGCTTTTCACTGGAAATCTAGTCATGCATCTGGCCACACGATTGGCTGGATTGATCCCATTCGTTGACATAGCGAGGTAATCCTATACGACAGCACTGCTTGGCTAACAAGAAATCGACAGTTAGACATACAGTGAGACAGCTGCAAATAGTACATTGGGCCCTCTGGGCTCTGCGGAAACTCGCAACAGACAGAATACTAACCACTAGCACTGCAAGTCAATCCAAGGAGCGTCGACTGGGTACAGTTATTCCCGGACCAACGCCCAAGATTGCACTGGTCCAATGTAGCCTCGTCTCCTGTACACGATACATCACCCAGAAACACTGGTCCAGATCTCCACGAGTACTGCGTGGTAGAGAACTAGTGAAGCAAGATTGAACATTATCGATCAGGTTCAACATCGTCGAAAATCAAAATGTTTCATCGAAATCTAAAGTTAAAAAGACTCATTTGTTTTACCGGTCACATGCCATTCACACTTCAGCAAGCACACCTTCAGTAAACTATGATGCAATGTGCAGAAATATTGGTCTCACACCCTATCATATTGGTAAGATATGGTGGCCACGAAATTCTCTTATTAAATATTCATGACGACAGAATCATTAGAACAATAGGCTGCATGTTAACGTTACCGGAGGTAAGAGTCACATGCCCTTGACTTCAGGAGGTATATTTTCTCCATTTTCTTTAACGCTGGCGACGATTTCGTTTGAATAGATCTCCTTATTTCGAATTTGAACCAATTTGCCGTCAACAAAAAAATCACCACAATGAAGCAAAAGCGAACCTGCGCATACAAAACGTTAGATACAGGGTGACCCAAAAAAAATGCAACCCTAAAACATTTGCCTTTTTTTCAAAAATTTCATCTGCGATTTTTTATCTTTTGGATATCAGATTAAAGTTGAGAGTTTTTTCTTTCAAATCAATATTGAAAAAAAAATTATGAAAACAGCACATTGGGTTGCTGAGAAAATACCTATTATGTATTAGAAGTGATTTTTCATCCTCTCCAATGGTGCTTCAAGCCCACTGCGCAATACTGTATTTCATTTGTACAATTTTAAAAATATTTTTACATATTTATGATGCCAAAAAGGTTTAATTTATTGCACTAAAAAAAGGATAAGATATCTTTTCAAGTGTAAAATAAAAGATATTTCCATCAAATTCAGTTGTACCCTTGTTATTTTATGTGCCGTGTTGTTTGTTAGGATTAGGACACAATGCGCCACATGCATTTCAAGCACAGATAGGTAAAGTGTAAATCCCTTAAATGTGGTAGTGCCATTGGAATGGACCGAAAAGGAGTTGCGTCACATAATTGGCATTTTCTCGACAACCCAATGAGCTGTTTTAATGATTTCTTTTTCAGTATTTAAAAAAAAAATACAAAACTCGCAGCTTTACTCTCATATTCAAATTCACAGATCGCGTTTTTGAAAAAAAAGGCAAATGTTTCAGATGTTGTATTTTTTTTGGGGGGGGGAGGGGGGAGGAGTCACCCTGTTTACCTTTTTCGTAATAAGATGGAGTCAGAGGGCAAATTGTATTGCTGGGATAGGGATGAGTTAAGCTCTTGTGAATTCATCGTTGGTGAATTAAGATAAGAAAGTACGCCCTCTGGAAACCTGCGACGTATATTAAGCTGTGATAGAGTATGGCAATTACATCAACGACAGATTATTTCGATCATGCCACCCAAGATTGAGATTCAGCCACAACTCTTATGAATTAATGTTACTATTCACATAAATGATGACGCATACCGATTTCGGGGCTCCAAGTCCCAGTTCTCTGCACACGACTTTGGAGTTGGCATCTGTCCAGCCGTTTGCACAAACGGCACCCCAAAGCCCATCGTGATGAATTTGAAGCAAGCCATCCTTTTGACGTCTTTGAAAACTGACTGGACTTCGGTCCTCTGAACGTAAGAGTGCATAAGTATAAAGTAGAGATTAATTGCCTCCTAAGACGCACAGAGTAGGGGGTCAACATTCATGCAGATATAGGCAAGTATTCTAGATTCATAATTGTCCATGTAATTTGAATACTTCCCGGTTGAGAACTTTGTAAAAGAACAAATTGGAAACTGAACAGGGAAAGTGTTCCTAACATACAGTCTCGAAACGAATTTAATATTTTGTTCAAATATCAACACTTGTATAGTTTTCTGTGTAGTTTCTGGAGGAGAAAATGATAAATCAACAAAATAATAATCTTAAAAGAGCATGTTCTTTCACTCATCTCAAAAAATAATTACTAAAATTGATCCATGCTATCAGAAGAATTATTTTTTAAATATTAATAGCGATTTTGGCATGTTTTCGATTGCAAGTTCTCGTCCATGCATCGAGATGGGAAAACGTCCACGTTTCATTGTTTTAATGGGTATTCATCAGTTCGTAGAACGGTAAATGGTCAGTGGTGGACAGCCAAATTTTGTGATCTTCATATCAAAATAGGCGTAATTTTGTAATAGAGTATGCAAATTACGTGCAATGTTCACAGCAACTAGTCAATAAGATGTTATTTATGCTTGTGGGTTTTTTTATGAAATGGATCGAGACTCGTTTTTTATGTTTTTTTTTTCTCTAATTCAGTGACTTTCTTTTTGACTTACCCTGTACTGACGACGTCACACTTTTCTATGGGGTTACGAAACCGATATCCCCACCAAGCTCGCATAAGCACACGTGAAAAAAAGTGTGACGTCGTTAGTACACAGGCCTGTTGCTATTTTGTTTTTCTTGGACATTAATATTTTTAACTTTAAAGTTTTTTCCGGCCAGAAAGCAACTGTTGTCGATTTGACCGTCATTGATGCAAGATTTGCACGTTATGTGCACGCTTACCTGGAATCGGACCGCTACAAATGACGCTAGCCTCGCTACTCCCCTCAAGATGCAAACATTCTTGATCCGGTTCATCTCGCATATAGCACTGAGCAAACGAGGATTCTGAGCCTGAACAAAGTACGGAAGAAGGGAAGACCACCGGGCCAGACCCACGGCCGAAGCGGTCGTCTTGTGGTGCTTCCAGGCCGTACCCTAACCCAAGCTGACGGCAGATCACATCACTCTCCTCGTCGAAGAATGTGTAGTCTTTTTTCAAGCAGAGACTTCCCCATGTTCCGTTGACGTGGAACTCAACTCTACCCTCTCTGGCGTTAGAGCCGCCCAAAAGTCTCAACTGAAAGTCTTCTGGCTCTTGAGATAAAAACAAAGAAATAATAAACAATCATTTTGTTCTTCACTCCACAATTTCAATTTTCAGTGTTATCCCTTCAAATCGTTGACGGTTTAGTGGACTAAGTGCAGCTGAACGATAGCCTTCCCTTAAAATAGTGCATCGTCCTGTAATACTGGCATTGAGGATGCTTTGGGACTTCCGATACCTCAGAACAAACCTTTTAGTCGAAGAGTTTTATCTATAGAACTAACTTATTTAAGGGAACATCGTCCTGAAATCATCGAAACTTTTATGTTTTAGATTGTTTACTTATTTCAAAGATCTGGTGGTAGAAAACCTAATTTAATATCTCACTGTACCTGAGAAAAGATTGCAAAAACATGTTGTTTTCTTCTGACACGGCGGACATTTTGTGGCAAACACATAGTTACGTATATTTCCAACCGGAAGTTCTTGGACGAGGAGTTTGCCCCACTGTACTTCTGTGTCCATGATTGTCGGATGATTCAATGTAGGCCTACGGTACACGCCGTGTGGCGGGTACATCTACATGTTCTAAACGTTTTAAGCGTTTTCAAAGTAAAATGTACGACTAGCTAATGTTTAGGATTGATCACCACATGCAAGTGCAGCAGACGACTGTTTCAAGACATGTTTATACAAGGCACTTCGGATAAAGTGGACGATTTTCCGCCAAAGTCCGCAATATGTCCACAAACGAGATACGATTATTTGCTCAGAGGGATGTCTAAAATGTCGCGTTTGATCACACACAGATGGAAAACGGTTGGACAGGCATGCGTGGACCGTTTCGAAAGTAAAGCGAAAATCTTTATTTAGAGATTACTGATTGAGCGGCAGAAAATGATGAGTTGGATTTGGTCTCTTAAGAAAATTCAGGAAGTACTAGCCTAAGGCTGTGATGCTTACTAACACATTTTGTTAGTACATGAAAATATGAAACAAAACATCTCAAAAACACTTTGATCACAAAGGTTGATAAGAAACAGATGTAGTACTGTACATACGCTTTCCATGTACGTCTCATTTTTTACTAAGAACGGTAGAGTAACTTTATACAGCTATAAATTGAGAAGATCCTGATCGAGATATGAAAATTGATTGAGACATCTGCTTGTACTGTCAAGAGTGAACTGCACTACTTTTAAAAAGCATACTTGAGTCCCGACAAGAATGATTCTTCGGATGGAACAGACCTCGGGTTGTTATTTCTTTTAAAAAAATCTCAGTGTTATGGTCCATGCCCCCCCCCCCCCCCCAGGCTAAGGCTTTGATCTGGGGGCGCGTCTGTTATTTGTCAAACTGCCTATATTTCTTTTCTCTAAAGCCCAGAATTAAGCTACAATTTCACTGCAAGATTTTGATCAATTTAGATGTTATTTTTGGGCAATTTATATGTTATAAATAAGTTATGCCTATGACGTCATTTCATCACAAAAGGGAATAAATGGATCTCGGATTTCGGATATTTTCCCTAAATTTACAATCGGACTACGCCCTATTGGCGTAGACACCTGAAATTTATCTTTAAATGGATATCTTTGTGTACATGTATATCATGCCCCGGCCTTGTTTCAAGTAGACCTGTCTATGCAGAAACTTTCCCTGAAACAAAATGGTTTATTGAGCACAAAGTGATTTATTTTAACCAATCAATCATTTGGGTAGTAAAACAATTTCAAATTCCTTTTTTTTTTCAAGAAAATATTTTACATTTTATATAGTACATTCAGGGAACCCGATTTAAAATGGCTTCCTCGAGTACATGGGTGATTAATATGGCTTGAATTAGAAGCAAACATAATATCTAAGTACAAATATAACCACGTTCATCTCAATGTCACACGCATGCTAGTCTGAGTAAATCAATGAAGTCATCTGAGCTGTAGGCATCCGACAGTAAACACTTGTTTCCCTTATTTATAACAACCAGAATCCATATGTGGTTACAGTTCTCTGAGATCTGTTTTAGCTTTGAGACTTACCTTTAATTCGATTGCAGAGAACCCCTGCTTGGTGATTAGCAGTACAGTTATCCTGGAACCAAAAGTTGGCGGGACACTCGATGAGTTTGCTCTCGTTACCGATGCACGCAAAGTCGGTGGCTAAATATGCGATTTCTTGTGAGCGTAATGGACGATGATTCCCAAAGTAGGAGTCGGTAAGGGCTCGTTTTGCCGAGTAGTGTCCATCCTGGCGGCAGATGACGTTAGCATCTGCCAGATCCCACCCCTGATCGCAGACTAGGTAAACCCTCGGACCTATGATGAGATCTTTGCTATACCAAAGCATAACTCGTCCGTCATTTTCAAAAACTGTAGGGCCATTGCCATCGCCAAGGGTAATATAAAACTGCTGACCTGTATTTCAAAATTGGACAGAAGTAGAAAGAAAGAATGTCAAAGATTGAACCTTTTTAATGAATCTTAAAATTGTCCGACCTGAAACTTTGGAATGACCACAAAAATTGATTCTTTCCAACTAATATTTTTCCCTTCAAACAACTATGATTGTGGATGGCGTTGAGTAAACTATAATTCCCAACCTTTAAATTCCTCCTGGTCCATACATGCAACAGCCGCAGCCCGTCTGGTCTCGGCACATTGATGCTCTTTCCAACCGTCATTCGCACATTCATCTAGTCTGGTTTCCGACCCCTTGCACTGAACGTTACTAAGCCAGACTAGTTCCGTCAAATTGCCGCCATCGTAGTTCCAATCGTCACGGTTGAGCCATGGAAAGCCCAGTTGCTTACAGACTACAAGAGCATCGTTGAAATCCCAGCCATCAAGGCAAATTGAGCCCCATCGACCATCGTGTAACACCTCAACTCTACCGTTTTGGCTAGAACCGCCAGACAAGCGCACGTCTCCGTCTATATATGGGAAAAGAAGGGAAGTTAATGAGACAACATCGCGCACACCAATTATGAAAACAAACAGTGTGTTTTCAAAAACTTATATGGAAACACACCAAGTATATTTGTCCATTGTCTTGGCAAGGTTAACATGAACAAATGAAAGTTATAAAGAACATTTGTATTCTTTTTCGTATTTATTCCAATATAATCACATATTTGATTCGGCTTTGAACCACAGAATCACTCAATACTTGACAATACCCAGACCCTGCAGTGGCACGATGAATACAAACCTGAAGCCGTAGCTGTACCAAGAATGAACACACAAAAAACAGTAACGCCAAGCATCGTGACACAGTTGTCTGTTGAACTGCACCTTCGCATACTGGCAAATGACAGATTTATATGCATTCCTGTATTATTGTACTTTGGTCACAGCATTTGATCCGGTTTTACTATCTTATTTTACTCATTCAGCAGTGCAATGGAAAATTTACGTTTCCACAGGGAGTGGTTACATTCACAGCACGGAGTCCAAAGTGCCTGCAGGTCGTTGACAGTGACATATTACAGTCCACGTTTAACGGCGACAATTTCACTTCGTGCCGGAAGCTTTGTGTAAAATTAAGACCAAATTCAGCTGTAAGAATTTTTTTTATTAATAACATCTTGAAAAAAAAAACAATCCCCAGATTGTCCTTAAGGTACATTAACCCGAAACATTTAAAAATCCTTTGAACGTTTACGATATAGACGATCAAGGTTGTTCCCCGGAATTTTAAATGGCTCCAAAATTTCCATTTAGAATGCGCGGCTATCCATCCCTTCTCCCCTACCTCCGTTCCCCCTCCCCTACCAGGTTAATAAGAATCCGTATTTCGGATCACTCTGACCTATATATAGACGACTTGGAGTGCACACATAGCAATTAAGAAGGGAAACTAGTGATTAATAAACGTATCTAGGCGTTAGTTTTCTTGGCATCAAGAAACTGTTAAGTTTGTGGAAATTCATAAACGGTGTGCAGGTTGAGTTCCCAGGCATAAAACCTGATTTCCATGGATCCAATCAATCAGGTCGAACAAATCAGGTGACTCAGAACTGGCAATAAATACTAGCGTCATCAAGATTACCATCTTTATAAACGGTGTACCTTTGATCGAGTACTGTACAGACGGGTTCAGAAATAACCGGTTTATATGACTCATTCAGCAATGAACAAGAAAAAGTACGTCATTCTGTTACCATTATACTCATGATACTGATTAGGGATACTCGAGTCCAGTAACAAACGTCACCGTTTTACGAGGAGGCCAAGTTAATCTGTCACCGTCGGAACAAACATTCGACAAAATCGCGTTTAAAGTTGGTCCTTTTTCTTTGAACAATTTGAAACGTGGAAATGCATAGAATATGAAAGATCGAGGTATCAGAGAAAAGAGGGGATTATAATCTCCCTCAATGTATCAAACTTGAAGAAAAATAGGCGATTAGTTTTGCAAACTGAATCAATTAAGAGAAGCGGCTGTTCGTGAAAACGAAAATAACAACCAATCAGCAAATTCGCCCCTGTGGCTGTGAATTTCGCCCCTTCGTGAAAATGCTAGAGACAGGACGCGCAGATTTCATTACAGCCGGTATTTCATAGACTCGTCCTGCATCTTATAACATTTCATTTTTTGTCTCTGCAAAGTGTGACCCGTTTTTACGGAAATTCGCCTCTTCGCGAAAACGCAAAACGGCACTTGAGGAAAATTCGCCCCTTCGTTAATAAGGTTAATTGGGATTTAAATTAATTCTATGAAAGTATAACCTCAATAGAATGTAGATATTGATATATTTAATCGTTTTCACCAAAAAACGATATCGATAAACAGACGATTTTCATGAAATTCGTCCTTTCGTGAAAACGGTGGTGTAATTAAGAGATTAACAAGCATTTTTCATGTCTACATCAACACGATAATGATTAATTTAACAGGTGCTTACACACATATTTTCATGTATATCTGTACAGCGTGCTGAATAACTGTTGCCCCATCACATCATCAACCATTAACATTGCTAATGAGAACTAGTAACACAGTCTAAGTATAGTGCATGCCGTGTCTTAATGCGGACACAGTGGTTTATACACGTAATCGAATGATTTCGACGTCTAAGCCCATTAATTATGTTACAAAAACATAACAGTGACGTTCATGTTTTGCATATCTTTTTTTATTATTTCAATCTACAGACTCTGACAAAAAAATAAAGATCGATATTACGCCAAAAGGTATTGATCATATTGGGTATAGTGTCCGATAATCACGACAACATACCCAATTATTTGATCAGCATCGAAGAATACGTTATCAATGTTCTGGTCTTTCAAGTTCAAACCTCGTGTTGTCTGTGTGTGTTGAGGTACGTATTCCGAGCACAGTTAAAGATGGATCACATGAACACTTAAATGTACCCCTGAAATATCGTGGTATGTAGTTCCATTTCAAATAAAATTATTCGTCGGACTAATTACTAAGTCGGACACAATATTGGCACTCAAACATAAGGGGTATAGGACTATCGGTCGTCGGACACAATGGGTAAAACAATGGGCTGTCGGACACAATGGGTCGGACTTAATCGTCCCAGCCTTGGTCAAAATCATAACTAAACTAACGGACATAATGGTCACAAATACAGTGGAGACCTTCAGATACTGTCAGTGTACAACCTTTTTGGTGGTGTTGGGGCGGGGGAGTTAAATACCCCCACTGGTTAAAAACCAGTGGCGGACTTCCCCTCCTCCCCCCTCTCACACACACACACCCTCCGCGTTCAGCCGCTGACTTATGTTATGATACTGCCAAAAAAATACCAATTGGAATTTTCAATTGCATTCGAAGGCAGGAGAAAGCCTCGTAAATTTGTAGTTTTCCGGGGTATGCCTCTGGAGACCGGACCCCATAGCAGCAGGGGAAACTGTCGCCACGCCTTCACTCACACTCCCTCTACCTTCAACCCCCCCCCCCCCCGTTCCCTGAAAGCTAGATCCGCCCCATTTAAACTCTTTTCCTTATTAAGCAGGGCAAACGATTTAGCGCGAAGACCGTTTACTGTGAGGAATCTGATCAAGCAGAAAGAGATTTCAGGCAGCCAAAGTATCCAACAAAATTATGAAACATTTGTGACTTCTTAAAGCCAAAAAATCAGGCAACACAATTTGAATAATTAACAATTCCCCAATTTTATGGCTCTCAGAAGTTCTTATTTTTCCCCAAACCACTTTTACGGCAAGTTGAAGTATCCGTTACTCATATTCCATCAAATTGTCCGAGGTCAAAATTAGGCCTAAAACAGTGCCGCTTTTTGTGCACCTGCTAGCTGGAGCGCCCCCAACGACAGTGAATTGAGATTCGGCCAATTTGAAGCTCAAAATTCCCCCCTCGCCCCCCCCCCCCCCCCCCCCTTGTAATTGGCTGATGGCCTTCGGCTCCCTTACTCGTACGATTTTGGAGCATTTGTTGCGGAACAGCCCTTGTTGATACCTTTAAAATACTTTTGCCCCCTCCCCATAGGTTCCGCCCGCTGAAAAAAAAACACACTGCCGCGTCATAGCACACGCGCAAAGAGGCCATGTTTGTCATTCTTATAGGGTGTAACAGTGTATTAAGATTCCCATAGACAGTAGTGTTATATGCCTATACTTCTAAATTCTTTCAAAAAATACTCAGTACTCTCACAGGTGTTTAAGCTGCACAGAAAAATGACGATCAATATGTCATCGTTTATTTTATTTTCAAGTTTTGGTAGGTTGACCATTGACTTTTCGAGAAATTCTCACCCAAAGGAGACGATCCCTATTTTTCCCAAAGCGGAAAAGTAGCCTTCTTGGAAAACGATCCCTCCACAACAGGAAAAAATAGCGCCACTTTCGAGCTCATTTGCATCCAAAATACTCAGAATTGGAAGGCCCGAGTCTGGGCCATGAGGTTCATTGCCATATTCTTCAAATCCCCAATTTTATGGCTCTAAGAACTCTCTAGTATAGAATATTTTGAGGGTATAACTTTTATTGATGAGCTTGGCGGATGGGTTTTAGGCCTATTTACAGGTGTGCAGCCTTAGGCCAAAAAAAGTCTCCGGTTTCTGATATGGAGCTTCCCCAAAAAGTGGTGGGCGACGCGGCTTTTTTTTTTTACCTGTCTTTTTCACTTCAAATGTCGGCCGATGACTGCAAATGGTGCCCGACTAAACTTAGTGTAAATATATGGGAGTCCGGAGAGGCCACATACAAGCTTATTCTCGATCATAACCCCATCCAAAAACACGTTACAATAATATTGTTTAGCAGCAGGATTCCAGTCAAACCAGTGAGTTTGGCGGTTTTGAGACATCATCTTTTATTGAAAAAAAAACGTTTTCATTTTGCCGACGAGCATGGCTACGGCGACGCGCGCGCATACCAGAAACCGGAAAAAAAAAAGTTGGCCTTAGACCTTTGCCAACCCATGTTTGGCACTTTTCTGCCACCACGAAGGCAAGATGGCGTCCAACTGAAACAGATTTCATGGCTCCCCACCAGCCTCTCTCTCTTTTCAACCGATGAGGGGGTACCTCTGCATGAAGCGGATTAAGAGACTTCAGGTTGTTCTGTCGTGGAAAGCAAGAATGCACAGACTCAAGAAATACTTGCCTGAAAGGGCAGTTTGGGAGCAGTGACTGACGCCGCGCGTCCGTAATAGGTCACCGAAAAAGCCTCACGGGCCGCACGCGGTACAGGACGCGTAAGCTTACGCTACACATCACACGCATTAAACCAATATTGCATTTATTGATAAGATACATTTATTAATAAGTTACATTAAAGATAAGATACATTTATTGATAAGATACATTAATGTAGAAAACGTTAAGAAAAATAGGTGAATAGTTTTGCAGAATTAATCATTTGTTTTCGTATTGCTACAAACATAAGGTCTATAGCTGTCCCTAGGCGTACCTCACGATACGTCAGACGATCAAACGATCCTCGTGGAGAAAGGGGGTTTAAACCGTTCGGAAAGTGCCTTTAAATGAGCTTGACGACCAGTTATAAAGATCCAATCATTGCCAAGCTCGGCACGAGGGGATACAAATGTTTACAGACACAAAGATGGCAACAAGTAAAACGACAGACGAACGAAAATCTGTTTTGCCTGGAATTGAATTATTTATTTTAGTTGAAGGTATTATATCATTATCAGAGCTATAAGTATAACTTCCATTAGAAGATTTTTTTTTTTTTTTATATTATTATTATTATTTTTTTTTTTTAAAGGAAATGGGGAAGACTAACCAGCATGGCTAGGAGGATATTTTTTTATAAGGAAAATTGGGGAAGACTAACCAGCATGGCTAGGAGGATATTTTTTATAAGGAAAATTGGGGAAGACTAACCAGCATGGCTAGGAGGATATTTTTTATAAGGAAAATTGGGGAAGACTAACCAGCATGGCTAGGAGGATATTTTTTAGAAGGAAAAATGGGGAAGACTATTAACCAGCATGGCTAGAAGGATATTTTTTATAAGGAAAATTGGGGAAGACTAACCAGCATGGCTAGGAGGATATTTTTAGAAGGAAAATTGGGGAAGACTAACCAGCATGGCTAGGAGGATATTTTTTATAAGGAAAAATGGGGAAGACTAACCAGCATGGCTAGGAGGATATTTTTTAGAAGGAAAGTTGGGGAAGACTAACCAGCATGGCTAGGAGGATATTTTTTAGAAGGAAAATTGGGGAAGACTAACCAGCATGGCTAGGGGGATATTTTTTATAAGGAAAATTGGGGAAGACTAACCAGCATGGCTAGGAGGGTATTTTTTAGAAGGTAAAATGGGGAAGACTAACCAGCATGGCTAGGAGGATATTTTTATAAGGAAAAATGGGGAAGACTAACCAGCATGGCTAGGAGGATATGTTTTAGAAGGAAAATGGGGAAGACTAACCAGCATGGCTAGGAGGATATTTTTTAAAAAGCAAAGTTGGGAAGATTAACCAGCATGGCTCGGAGGGTACTTTTTAGAAGGAAAATTGGCACAGCTAGTAGCCTAGCATGAATAGTAAAGGAAGTTTACGTTAGGCCGTAAAAACGCAGCGTGGAAATTTTCAAGGATTGTAAGGAACGGATCAATAAAACATATACCGGAAAGTGAAGTAGTTCATAGTTAGTATAAGTAGTAAGGAATGCCGGCATGTAAAAGCTCTTACCAGTCTGTTTTGGTAAATTTGACAAGAAACCAGAAATTTGTCTAAAAAGCAAGACTCATCAGGTACAGTTCGCTAGACCTTGGGTAGGTTTCGTCTCGAGACTGTACGACCTACCCCGTAAGAACTTTTACGTGTTGTTAAAGAAAGAGGAAAAGGCGCAAGTATAAACCAGGGGTGTGGGTGACCTCTGACAAAAATAGCTGAAACCAGCTGAAAAAGGTGTAAAAAAAACTGAACTTTGGAAATCTTCTATACTTTTGTACACAGCAAGTGAGGGAAAAAGCTGAAATCCAAAACAAAAAAAGCTGAAATCAGCTATAAAGCTGAGATTTCACACCCCTGATAAACGTACAAATTATCTTTGAATTGGTCTTGTGGTATACGGAAGAAGAAGAGAGGTGACAAGTCTGGCTCGGGTTTTCTTTACTGTGCCTTGCACCGTGGCACCGCTTGTTTAGCGTAGCGTGGCGTGGCGTGCTAGGCTATATCAGAAGAAGGGGTTGATAAGCGACCAAAAATCCAGGTGCAACATGTATATTTTATCCTAAATCATACCAGTTTATTTTAACATGACGTTATAGGTTTATATAAGTTTGTAAGTCGGATTAGGGGGGATAAATAAAAATGGTTTTATTTTATTTTAGTCAGTTGTTGATGTTATATCATAATTTATATTTCAAAGAAACGGGGTATTTAATTGGGTTGTAAGAGTATAATTTTCATTAGAGATCAACTCACCTAAAACGATAAGACGTCCGCGCATTAAAGTCGAGGATATGGCGTTAAGACGTCACGGTCAAAGGTTCAAGTACATGTAGTAAAGGAATTGCGTTTCAACGTCAGAAGAATACGTGTTGTTCTTATGGCAGCTGGGAGCAAAGTGTGACGTGACGCCAGCGCAACGCACGGATTTTTGAAAACGTCTAAGATACGCGCGTATCATACGCGCGCGTAATAATGAATCGTTGTGCGTATCAAATGAAATGAGTGGCACAATATCAGTGCGGGGTCGACGTAAGTAAAAACGCAGCTCAGAGATTTGTATAGGTTAAATACAACTTTTTATAGTTAAGCATCTCGTTCATAAAATTTATTTGATAATTTAATAATGTTTATAATCTTATTAACGTGTCAGAAATTAGATGTTCACAAAATGAGATAACGTTCGTGAAAAGAAAGAAGAAAGAGTTAAATAAAAAAGGAAAATGTAGGGAGAAGAGGAAAAGGATTACAGGGAACGGCCCCTTCGATGATAAAGCGTCATTGTATTACAATGTATTTATTTACTGAAAATTTATTAATACCATAGAGTGCGGAAATTCGCCCATTCGTGAAAACGCAAAACGGCACTTGTGGCAAATTCGCCCATTCGTTAATTAGGTTAATTAAGGTTTTAATTACTTTTTTGAAATTATAACCTCACCAGGTTGTAGATATTCATAAATTTATTCATTTTCACCCAAAAAATTTCTAGAAAAACAGACGATTTTCATGAAATTCGCCCCTTCGGGAATACGGTGACGATTAATACCATAGAGTGCGGACATTCGCCCCTTCGTGAAAACGGAAAACGGCACTTGTGGCAAATTCGCCCATTCGTTAATTAGGTTAATTGGGATTCTAATTAATTTTTTGAAAGTATAGCCTCACCAGGTTATAGATATTGATATATTTATTCATTTTCACACACACACAAAAAAAATCGAAAATCAGACGATTTTTATGAAATTTGTTCCTTCCTGAAAACGGTGACGATTTATTAATAAGATACATTTATTAATATTGTACATTTATTGATAAGGCCAAAAAAAGTCTCCGGTTTCTGGTATGGTGCTTTCCTAAAAAGTGGTGCGGCGACGCGGCTTCTTTTTTTTTTACCTGATTTTTTTGCTTCAAATGTCGGCTGATGACTGCAAACGTGCCCGACTAAACTTAGTGCAAAAATATGGGAGTACAAAGAGGCCACATAAAGCTTATTCTCGACCATAACCCAATCTAAAAACACGTTAAAATTGTGCAGCAGCAGGATTCCAGTCAAACCAGTGAGTTTGGCGGTTTTGAGACATCATCTTTCATTGAAAAAAAAACTTTTTTATTTTGCCGACGCGCATGGCTACGGCGACGCGCGCGCATACCAGAAACCGGAGACTTTTTTTTTTGACCTAACATACGGTTATTAAAAAAAAATGTGTATTTCATCGAGTGTTTCGAACGTGTGCTTCTTTAGAAAGGGTTTCTGAGTACACTTCATTTTTGCAGTAGGCCTACATTTTTGTGTTCCAATGCACACAAAATACCACTTTTAGTCCCCATCCATGGTAAGTACACTTGTGATTATTTTTTAAAGAAAGGTCATGAAAATATAATTTAAAGCGTCGTACGCAACTTATAAGAAAAAGTCCCTAATCATATTCACCCGAAAGCTTTGGCATAACCCTTTTCCGGGTAAAAAAAATGACACGTTTTGCTAAGGTTTCTAGGCCAAAATGACCCGGAAAGGTATCATTTTCGATCCAGAAAAGTCTCGTTTTTGACCTGGAAAAGGTAGCCCAAACAGAACCCGGATTGCGGGTCAAACTGAACAGGAACTTATAACCCCAGTAAAAGTATATCACATATTACATGGCCAGGAAGTTTAATTAAATCAAACTTTATAAAAACTTTTGGATTAAAATATCATTCAAGCCTAGGCTCCTGTCGGTATATAAGCAGAACATTACAAGGCTAACAGTACAAAACTGTCAAGATTAGACAAGGACAAACACAAGAACAAAGAAAAACAGTGCTAATTTTTCCAAATTGTATACACACTATTTAGGAATGCAGCAGATAACTAAATCTGTACAAAGAATTAGCAACCATGAGGTTCTATGTCACAATCGCAGTTTCACCTGGGAAAGACGAAGGAGTCATTACACGAGTTAGTGCAGGAAAACCGCCAGGCTGGCGAATACGAGAATGGATGGTACTGCAGCCGTGACGACATTACCAGCTATGAAGACAAAGAAATACAAAAAAAATGTTTTGTTAGACGAGTCATAATAATGGCCCGCAATTTATATCATTCAGCGTATGGAATCTGCACCGAAATGCCGACATGTACTTTCACAGAAATGAAACATCTGTTCAGCAGAATACTACATGAACTTCAATATAGACTGAGTAAGGAAGACAATTACACATCCTATACAATCCAAGTCTCAAAGTACCTATTAGGCTCTTGTTTTATCACTATTGAACGTCACAGCGGCCCGAGAACATGGCAATATAAATCAACACTTTGGATAGTATTATCGTTGTTATATTGTACTTTTTTGGCCCTTTTGAGGTTTGCGAAAGGATGACGTGGCTTTATGTGCTTTTGCGATAACGGACACGTCGAGCGATTCCGCTAATATAGTGCGCCCTCATGTGTTCTCTTTGTTTGTCATAAACTATAAGAAACAAGACCAGGCAAGACTAGCAAAGCTGGTACAAGAACCATTATCGTTATTTTCATTTGATTCAGAATGGCTTTTCACTGGAAATCTAGTCATGCATCTGGCCACACGATTGGCTGGATTAATCCCATTCGTTGACATAGCGAGGTAATCCTATACGACAGCACTGCTTGGCTAACAAGAAATCGACAGTTAGACATACAGTGAGACAGCTGCAAAGAGTACATTGGGCCCTCTGGGCTCAGCGGAAACTCGCAACAGACAGAATACTAACCACTGGCACTGCAAGTCAATCCAAGGAGCGTCGACTGGGTACAGTTATTCCCGGACCAGCGCCCAAGATTGCACTGGTCCAATGTAGCCTCGTCTCCTGTACACGATACATCACCGAGAAACACTGGTCCAGATCTCCACGAGTACTGCGTAGTATAGAACTAGTGAAGCAAGATTGAACATTATCGATCAGGTTCAACATCGTTGAAAATCAAAATGTTTCACCGAAATCGAAAGTTAAAAAGACTCATTTTTTTTACCGGTCACTTGACATTCACACTTCAGCAGGCACACCTTCAGTAAACTATGATGCAATGTGCAGAAATATTGGTCTCACACCCTATCATAATTAAATATTCATGACAACAGAACATTAGAACAATAGGCTGCATGTTAAATTTTAACCGGAGGTAAGAGTCACATGCCCTTGACTTCAGGAGGCATATTTTCTCCATTTTCTTTAATGCTGGCGACGATTTCGTTTGAATAGTTCTCCTTATTTCCAATTTGAACCAATTTGCCGTCAACAAAAAATCACCACAATGAAGCAAAAGCGAACCTGCGCATACAAAAGTTAGATACAGGGTGACCCAAAAAAATGCAACCCTAAAACATTTGCCTTTTTTTCAAAAACTTGATCTGCGATTTTTATCTTTTGGACAATAGATTAAAGTTGAGAGTTTTTCTTTCAAATCAATATTGAAAAAAAATCATGAAAACAGCACATTGGGTTGCTGAGAAAATACCTATAATGTAATAGAAGTGATTTTTCATCCTCTCCAATGGTGCTTCAAGCCCACTGCGCAATACTGTATTTCATTTGTACAATTTTTAAATATTTTTACATATTTATGATGCCAAAAAGGTTGAATTTATTGGACTAAAAAAAGGATAAGATACCTTTTCAAGTGTAAAATAAAAGATATTTCCATCAAATTCAGTTGTACCCTTGTTATTTTATGTGCCGTGTTGTTTGTTAGGATTAGGACACAATGCGCCACATGCATTTCAAGCACAGATAGGTAAAGTGTAAATCCCTTAAATGTGGTAGTGCCATTGGAATGGACCCGAAAAGGAGTTGCGTCACATAATTGGCATTTTCTCGACAACCCAATGAGCTGTTTTAATGATTTCTTTTTCAGTATTTAAAATAAAAATACAAAACTCGCAGCTTTACTCTCATATTCAAATTCACAGATCACGTTTTTGAAAAAAAAAGGCAAATGTTTCAGATGTTGCTTTTTGGGGGGGAGGGGGGGGGTTCACCCTGTATACCTCTTTCGTAATAAGATGGAGTCAGAGGGCAAATTGTATTGCTGGGATAGGGATGAGTAAAGCCCTTGTGAACTCATTGCTGGTGAATTAAGATAAGAAAGTACGCCCTCTGGAAACCTGCTACGTATATTAAGCTGTGATAGAGTTTGGCAATTACATCAACGACAGATTATTTCGATCATGCCACCCAAGATTGAGATTCAGACACAACTCTTATGAATTAATCTTACTATTCACATAAATGATGACGCATACCGATTTCGGGGCTCCAAGTCCCAGTTCTCTGCACACGACTTTGGAGTTGGCATCTGTCCAGCCGTTTGCACAAACGGCACCCCAACGCCCATCGTGATAAATTTCAAGCAAGCCATCCTTTTGACGTCTCTGAAAACTGACTGGACTTCGGTCCTCTGAACGTAAGAGTGCATAAGTATAAAATAGAGATTAATTGCTTCCTAAGACGCACAGAGGTGGGGGTCAACATTCATGCAGATATAAGCAAGTATTCTAGATTGATAATTGTCCATGTAATTTGAATACTTCCCAGTTGAGAACTTTGTAAAAGAACAAATTGGAAACTGAACAGGGATAAGTTTTGGAACATCAAAACAGTCTCGAAACGACTTTAATATTTTGTGCAAATATCAACACTTTTATAGTTTTCTGTATAGTTTCTGGAGGAGAAAATTATAAATCAACAAAAGATCAATCTTAAAAGAGAATGTTCTTCCACTCATCTCAAAAAATAATTACTGAAATTGATCCATGCTATCAGAAGTTATGCACACGTTTTACTAAAAGAAACCGATTTTTATAGCTGTCTATGGAATGCCATTGGAAGCTATTGAGCTGAGTGAGGCTTACAGATTACACACAA